ACACATCCCTCCCTGGCTAGGTAGAGGTGATCATCGATCGATTTGGAGTTAAATTCTCGTACATCTAATCCATACGAACCACCAAGTCGACGGTAAAAAAGCGTTTAAAGTTTTCTACGGGCATCGGCATACTACTCTGAAGGCCTGCACAAACGGGCGCTAGCCACAGCCGAAGCAGTGGCAATTCGACTGGCGAACCCAGCACTCTGTTGTCAGAAGACGCTGACACAAGCAGTCTGTCTGTCATGGCCGACTCCGGACGGTGATCGCACGCCGTCCCGACGCGCTGAGAGCAGTCACACGCACTTACAGAGCTTACAATCTAACCTTAACCCCTTTCCTTCCCTCCCCCTTCCACCCCAACTCCACCGTCCTCAACACGCTGACTCTGTCATGTAGGCGGTGTAGGAACATGAAGTCCGATTCACCCTGCCGCTAAGACTTATGTGTATCCTGTCTGCAATTAGAATGATGATAACCCATGCAAATGTATCGGCCTGACGATTAGTTGCCGAACACATATGTTCGCCAACTGAACCTTCACTCGTAATATGGGATCACGGTTTGTCCACTGTGGACGTTTGTTAGCTGAGAAGTGCACTAGGTTTTTATTGATTTGTTGATGCCCTTACTGATTGGGAAACGGCATTTCCAGGTTGGTTCGCTGGTCCTTAAATGCTGACTGGTAGAACCGACTAAATCGAATGCTGGCCAGGATTTGGCACCAAGGCAGGTTCGGAGTTTCCTAGATGCATCATTAAAAAGGAGCTATTGTAGCCCGACTCTCAGTCTACCATTCCGCCACTCCTCACATACACACTGGGCAGACTGCGAGGTCAGAGTTATTTCACCAGTTTGCAATCTTCCAAGAGACAGTATTTAGTACTCCGTGACATATTCAAGTGCGTCAAAATGATTGTGCTGAGGAATGCGTGCTGAGGCCTTTGGCCACACTCTTTCTTCACAATCCCAGGCACCAGTCCACTGTCCGGGCTGATCAGATGTCTAGTGCCGGAAGTGGACACAGTTACTAACAGAGCTACAGAGTCCGTTAGGACGCACCACGTGCGAGATCTGGCCCCCAAACACGTACACCAGGAGTACACACACGAGGAGGAAGCAGCCTGGATCTCTTATGTGTGTGTGGGGAATGCCAATACGAAGGGGTCATCGTAGTTTGACTCTCAGTCCACCGGTCGTCCACCCTAACCAACGTACTCACAACTAGGCTGGGTGATTGGTTTGTGCTAAGGCGTCAGCTGGTAGCCTTCCAAGCGTGACTTTCGTTCGTCCTGTTAATGCGTCTGATCGTTTGTAGAGAAAAAGTATGTAGGTCGTCCGCGCACACCACACAAAGGACCTGTCCCCCACCCAAAAGCACACACTAGTATTACACACACAAGGGGGAAGCGGGTCGGATCTCACATGTGGGAGAGAGTATTATTAATAAAAAGGCACCGCGATCTTACTCTCAGTACACCAGTTGGCCACCCAACCCGTAAAAACAGAACTGGGTTGAGTGCGTAATCTTGGTTAGAGAGTCAGTTGACATGCCACAAAGCCAGGACTTTTTTGCGTACCGCGTTAGTCAGATTGCTTATAGTGCAGAATTACAGTAGATGGGCTGACTCATGAAATGGTAACCGATATTCCGAAATGCATTTTCGTTTCGAAAAGATTAACTAAGTAGGCTTGTGAAACTCGTCAGCCTGCAATATAATTCTATAATATTTCAGTTACAACAGGATGTCGGATTTCGAATGAACCTTCTTCCGGCTGAATACGAAAACTACACTCTTCAAAAAATGACTACTTGAGTAGCATGAATTTTTCTCATTGATTTTCGATGCCCCTAAAAGTCCAACTATATTTCATGGAAAACATGCATAAAAATATTTATTCTTTTGCTAATTCAGTAGAACAGTATGTCTGCTTCTAATTTTGTTCTCGAAGGAGGGACATAATTCGGTTTTCAAAAAGTTTCTTATTGTGAGGCTTTTAAACACCGTGAAATGGCCGTTCAAAAATCATCATGTGCCCGTAGTTACCAATGTGGCTTGTAAAGTTAACCACCTGGACCAAATAATCTGTTGAACTTTATGAACCTTATATGGCCCCTTTATTACCGTAGAGAAATGTGTGGTTTTTCGTACGCGGAAAATATAGGGCTTGTAGTTTGGTAACCCTGAATGCAAATGTAACGTAAGTGCGAATTCAAAATTATTCGGGAATTTGAAAAGTTTTGAAAACCGAATGATACCCGTCCTTCGAGTGTAAGATGAGAAGAACACGTAATTTTCTACCGAATGAACAAAAAGTGGATTTTCTATGCATGTTTTCCATGAATTATAATAAGACGTTTAGAGGCATCGAAAATAAATGAAAAAATACATGCTACTTAAGTAGTCATTCTTTACCGAATGTAGTTTTTGCATGCAGCCGGAAGAAAGTGCATTCGAAAGCCGACATCTTGAGGTAACTGGGATGTTATAGAATTATGTTGCAGGCTGATTACTTTTACGACGCTGCTTAAAACACTACTTTTAAACAAAAATTCATTTCGGAATTTCGGTTGAAATTTCATGAGTTAGCCCACCTACTGTATGTGCTGAGATTTGACCCAGCTCACGCTATCCTATCCTGCACATCAGATGGTTGCGCGAGCCGGTCAACCGTCTGAGACGAGGACAAAACCGGGAACAGTTCGTCTGCGCATCTCACGCATACGGCCTGTTCTCCGTACTCACGTACCAGGATTTCACGCACAAAGCAGTAGAACGTTTGGAGGACCTCGGATGCAGCGGAAGGGCCGCACAGAGAAAGGGGCCGAGAGCACATTACCCACTTGCGTGTGAGATGTTGTATGATGCTGTCTGTGCTGTTGAGGGAATGTGTGGTGAGGTGGTCATTCCTGCGGTGGCATACCGCAGGTTTTCTCAAATCCGCATCTGACCGAACAAGCCCATGCGATATCTAAATGTGCGATAGGAATGTGGGAAATTGAGGTGTGTGTGTTGGTGCTCCAAGCACTGGTGGGCCGGTCGCGGTGCGATGGTTTCGCAAGTGACTGACTAAGCCGGTGTGTGAGAGGAGTGCGCGATCGTGGTGAGGACGGATCAAGACGGAGTCAACATCGCTGGAGGTCTTGGCGGTGGTAAGGGTGGAGTTTAGCGGGATGGTAGTGGTAGCGTTTCGACCGGTGGCGGGTGAGAGTTAGAGCCGTGAGGGGCTGGAGTATGGGTGGTAGGGGATGAATTGTTTCGGGCTTTCGAGATTGCCCGAATCCCATTCGTCAGGAAACAGTGTCGAAACAAGACCTGTAACCTTCATCGGGAATACTGTCCTCTCAGGTGCCTTGTGATTTCACGGCCTCCGGATTGCATCGGCAACTTCTCCTTCAGAAGGGGAAAAAGAATAAAACTCCGAATAAATGCGATGTCTGGTGGTGTTGAAACAATAAGACTGTGTAGCATTTCCAGCTGTAAACGTGTCCGCAAACTAACTTACTCCTGATTTGCTTATCTCGTCGAGAAAACCTCACTGCTCTGACAACGGAAGTTTTCAAATGAAATTTAACTAGTTGTTCGAAATGTTTCTCTGAGACAGACACCCTGGAGAATGTGAATGTCGACAACAGGATGTGGAGGAAAAAAACATGGACCGTTCCGATCAGGCGCGAAAATTAAAAAAAACAGGCCAACAATCCCGCAAATTAAAAACGTGTCTGACACCGCTAGGAAACACTTAAAGTGGCGCCCAAACCGACGACCAGACTACGCAATATCTTAAGGATAGGATTGGCCATTTAGATAAGAAAGACGCCATATACAGGAGTCAATGCAGAACTTGAACTGCAGTATAATGTGGCCAAACTGGAAAATTGACCTCTGCGTGCATACGCGAACGTCAGGTAGCGGTAAAGTGGCGAGACTACCCCTCCACACAAGTTTGTCTGGGATTAAATCCACCCTGTTGGTGTCTGTTCACGTGAAAGGAGCTGAGGACTTTTTGAGGCCGTGCATTCTGACGACTCATGCAATAATCAGAACATCGAATTAGACGCAAGGCACAGCGAAGTCAAGTAAAAATCGAAAAGTCCTCAACCAGTCCAAAGGAGACGTCAGCCAGCAGCGATGGCTTATTGGAAAGAATGGCTACGTCGTGTCGATTTTTCAGGCATATATTTTGCGCTTCTAACGAGGTGCTAGAGAATCAGCGTTGACAAATTTAGGAGACAAAGTTTCTGAACTTTCCAAGGAAACTTAGTTTTTCAAAGTACACTTCTCGAGATGCACATTTTTTAGTGCATACGGTCAATTTTTTCCGTAGGATGTGGTTATGTAGCCCCATCTGACGGACGGAATACTGTTGGGGTTGGGGCTAGAGGTAAAAATTATGGTTAGAAGGTTAGAGTTAGGGGTTATAGTTTGAGGTAGGGGTTGGGTGGTAGGATAACTATTACCAACCACTCAAAATATAACCGTGCACTGACAATAGCTTTTCTTTTACATTCAACTACTTGACCTCGTCGAGTGTGCGCTCCCCGGCCCCACCTGTAAAAACCCCTATTACCACCGGTCCCTTATTACAGGTGGCTGAGGTTTGTTTACTTCATGTGCGGCTACATAACCACATTTGACCAATTTTTCAAATCACGAAGTTGCATAAATTTATGAAGCACCTATTTCCACCCCGAAATTGGCCCAAATATGCCGACCAACATTCCCATTAAATAGTGAATAACTTTAAGAATGATACAAATACAAAAGTAGCTTTAAAGATAATATTAGATTGTTTAGAAATAACAAAGTTTTAAGCAAAACAAAAGTGATAAAAAATCCAAAAATCGCGACAAATGAGTAAACTTAAATGTTATGAGTATATAAAGCCCGTCCGTGTAAAAACCGGGAAAGGGTCGGTTACGCTGTCCTGTTTCCAATTGAAAGTGCGATATGGGCATTGAAAGTAAAGTAAGTCGAAAAAGAATGCTGAAATCGTTAATGGGGAAAGTCGCCGAAACTGAAAGGGAAAAAGGCAACCTAATGTAAAACAAATCTGCCCCGAGACTGAAGGTAGCCTCCCCAAAAGGGCCTGGCTGTCAGGACACGTAACGGTATACCTAACCGTAGCCTCAAAAGTAAACCTAATCTTTAACCTTATCACAGGCTTAACGCTAACCCTAAGCTTAACACTAAATCTACAAGAAATCCTGGCCCTAACATTAACCGTAACCCCATCCTAACCCTGACATTAACCCTAGCCTCAAACATAACACTAGACGTTAACCTAAACCGCAATACAATAGTTAACCGTTCTTGTATATAGACCAGAAATGTGACGACGAGCTGGGGAGCCAGTCTCAAAAATCTAAGCAATAAAGAGTATTTCGTTCCCAAAGAATCTTGTCTATTTCATATGCATACAGTGAGTGCCCGATCTCATGAAATGTTGGCTGAAAAATGCATGCTTCATATGTGGTCTTTTTTACAGAGTGTGGTTTCTACAGAAGATTAAAAAGCGATGCATTCAAAAGTTCATATCCTGCCGAGTCCGAAATGCTATGGGACTATGCCGCATGCAAATTAATATTACAACCGCGCGTAATTACAAATTCTCGATCAAAAACGCATTCCAGAATTTCAGCCAACATTTTATGATTGGGCACTTACTGCAGGTATAATCCTTCTTTGAGTATAAATAATGAAAATGACAACATTTTCTATTAAACGACTGACAGAAAGCATATTGTTGTTCGCGGTTTTTCTAAACTATATTTGAATTTGCAAGACGATCGAAGATCAATGGGAAAATTCATACTACATGAATAGTCATTTTTTACCAAATACGGCTTCTATAGGACACTTAAAAGTTGTGTATTGAAAAGCAGACTTCCTGCCAAGTCTGAAATATTATTGGACAATACACCAAGCTAATCAATATTATTTTCCCGCCTAAGTAATCCTTCCTAATTAAAAAGGCATTTCCGAATTTTAGCCAAAATTTCGTGAGATCGGTCACTGACTGTATATGCAGACAAGTGGGTGCCGAGAAAGACAAGTGAATTTGCGATAATTATTTACTTAAGATGTGACTTATAAATCACTAAAGCTTACAATAAAGCAAACAAACATTCCCGAAACCTCTTTTGTAATTCCTCTCCTCTTGTTTAGTTGCTTGTCTCAAAAAGGATTTCGTCCTTCCTAATAATCCTTTTGGCCCACTTTAATTTGAAGGGTTTTGCGGGACTGGTCAAAGGAAGAAATTGTTTTGAACCCTCTGACAGCCATTAGCGACCACTACCTCAACCTGGTGTCACGTATCTGGTCACCCCTGTTGCTAACAAGAAGCCTTCATCGAATTTATGCAATTGATCGCGCAGCCGAGGAGTTGGGCTTCCACTACCCCACTGGCGACCTCATGCCAACGAAAAAGCCCGATCATTCGGCAGGCAGTGGCTTTGCTCCCAAACCTCCTATGCCCTTCAATCCGCCTCTGTTTTGGACTCGATCCCCTTTCGTACTTGGCATGCATCCCAGGGAGGACTGGGGAACAATTATCCAGCGGCTTGCCGGTGACATACTCTACGATTGCATGGAAGTCAATCGGCTAGAAGGTGAGGCTGCTAAAGGTGACCCGTTCTACCTTAGAGGTTACTGGTGCATACAGACTGTGCAAAATTTGGAAGTTATTTGGTGTTACCCACCCGCACGGCGCATCAGGAAAAAGAAATGCTTAGACGTGATTATATGGAGGGTTTCCAGTGGGATCTTATTTTCTAGCCGTACGTGCAGTAGACAAGCCCAAGTCTGATCCCTAAACCTTTATCCCTAAACCCATACTTCCTATCTCAAACTTTAACCCCAAACAGGTACGCCTACGAAATTAGATCTTGCCGAATTTCCAAATGACTTAATAATGTTATCCTGGAGACTGGACTTAACTCAGTTTGCTAAGACTAGAACAGTAACAGGCCAACTGGGTTTTCCTGAGAATTTCTAGAAAGTATAAGTCACTATTCTTCTTCCTCCGGCAGATGTTATCATCGCGTTCGGCCGACGAAGCACTGTGGTTTCATTGTCGGTTTGGCGTGAAATCATGATGATACGTGAGGGTTTCCAGATGAGTGAATAATTTTAGCTTGGAAACCGGACTTGACCAATTTTACTAGGGCTAGAGGAGAAACAAGCGAGTTGGACTTTCATGAAAATTTAAAGGGACTTAGCATCGTTATTCGGCTTCTCTGGCTAGATGCTATCATCAAGTTTGGGCATATGAGACCTCGCGTCTCTACTAGTTTTTTGGTGTGAACTCATGGAGATACAGTAAATGGGCTAACTCATGAAATGTCAACCGAAGTTGCGAAATGCATTTCCGTTTCAAAAAGATTTATCAGGTAGGGTTATAAAACTAATCAGCATGCAACATAATTCTATAATAATTCATTTATCGCAGGATTCCGGCTTTCGAACGAACGTCTTTCCGTCTGCATGTAAAAACTATACTCTGTAGGAAATGACTAGTTAAATGGCGTGCACTTTTCTCATTGATTTTCGATGCGCTTAACAGTTCAATTATATTTCGCGGAAAACACGCATAAAAATATTCATTTTCTTACTTATTTGGTAGAAAATGACGTCATCCTCCAGTTTTGTGCTTGAAGGAAGGGTATAATTCGGTTTTTAAACACTTTTCAATTTCCGAATAATTTTGAACCCGACTTGCCGTTACACTTGCATTCAGGGTTTCCAAGCTGCAAGCCGTCTATTGTCCGCGTACGGAAAACCATACATTTCTGTACGGTATTAAGAAGAGACCACAGAGGGTTCAGAAAATTAAGCAGAAAATTTGAGCCATATTGTTGACTTTACAAGGCACACTGTTAACTGCACAGACATGACGTTTTATGGACGGTCATATCACGGTATTAAACAATTTCACAATTGAAAAGTCAAGTTGGCGAACGCACGTTTTCGGTAATTCTTCCTCAGGCCAATACAATTACATGAAACGAATGAAAATGTACAAAATCAACAGTGTTTATAGATGCCTCAAGGGCTATTAAGTCACTAACACTCATCATCCCCACGCCGCCCGCATGAGAAGGTCGGCGGGTGTTAGTCGTCGGGGCTAGGGGAGGGGGGTAAGAGAGTCTTTGAGTAATGATCTTGGGTTGAGTACACGGAGTACCCATCATCGTGATTAGGGATTTGAGGCGGCATGGCTTCATCACTTGGGGTTGGTGTTGGCGTTGGCCACGGCAGCGAAAGCGCTTGTGTCAGAGTTTTCTGACAGCATAACACCGGATTCACTAACCGTATAGCTACTGCCTCTGCCGTTGCTAGTATCCGTTGGCGTAGGCCTTTAGAGAAGCATGTTGGTGTCCGGTAGACACCAACACCAACAATTGAAAACTTTTTAAAACCGAATTATGCCGTTTTTTCGAGTATAAAATTAGAAACAGACGTCAGTTTCTAGGGGTTGTGTAAAAGAATAAATATTTTTATGCATTTTTCCCGTGAAACATAATTGAATTTTTTGGGGCATTGAAAATAAATGATAAAAATGCATGCCACTTAAGCAGTCATTTTACACAGAGTACTGTTTTTGCATGCAGCCGGAGAGAAGTTCGCTCGAAAGCCAGCATCTCTAGATAACTGATTTATTAAATAATTATGCTGTACGATGATTGGTTTTACAACTCCACTAAATTGGCCTATTTGAAACAAAAATGCATTTTGAAATTTCGGTTGACATTTCATGAGTTAGCCTACCTACTGCACGCGAGTATCACTCCCCAGAGGCCAAATACTCAACTGAACATGGATAATGAAATGTAATATGATCGATGTGTGTCATCAGCGAAGTTGGCCCCCGTTAGATGTCCAAACCCGATACTTAAACTCAAGTCCAGTTGCCCATCGAGCCCACTCTTTGCCACTGAATCCAGAAGGAACGCATACCTCGTTTGCTAATATGAGAATTTTTCAGGGACAAAGAATACCGGCACACATTGTGCTTTGGAGTTCACGTCAGGACACCAGGCAGGCAGTTACAGTGATGTTAATGCTACCGAAATGCATCAAGGTGAGAACTCACAATGTTCTCTGACCCGGCATAATGTCGAACACGTCTGCGCATGTTCCGTCACCGGTTCGATTTTACCTTAAAACGGTCCTGCTGATTTCATAGTTTTGCGCGTTCACATGTGATGGACAAAAACAGAGGTCAGACTGGCTCACAGCAGGCGCATATGCTCATAACTACTGCCATAATCACGCGTTTGTGGCATGTCCTAGTCATGGTGTCAAATCCACTCAGCAACTGTCTGAGAGTCACAGACGGTAAAACATCCCCACGGCGGATCGGTATCTTCCTCCAAACACCAAATCTGACACAACAGGCAGGGCTTAATGACGTGGTTGTGACATTCACGCGTATAAAGTGAGCGCCACCCTCGGAAAACCTTCCGGAATACCAGCTCTCAGGACATCTTCAGGTTTTCGCGTGTTCTTGGTCTCAGATGATAAAGCATTTATTCTGAAATTTAACTGACATTGATCCACGAGGGAAGTTTCGTTCTTATGATCAGTACTCACGTGACTAACATCCTGCCTGCGACGGTAGGGGGGGGGGGTGCAGCGCTGCATTCGGGGAGCGCTAGAGCGTTTATAAAGTTCTGCAGCTGTAACCACCCGAAGTGTGCTTCGCCAGTGATCGCGGGCATGTTTACTAAGCGTATAAACATTGACGTTTGGTAAAAACATAAACGGTCGGAATAAACTTTGTTTACAGGTAGATGAATCAGCTCGCCAGTGTCCACTCAGTCCAGTTCGACCACCGATTTCGACGATATACACCTTGTGCTCCCTAGCAGGGTAATAGCAGGACAGTGGCTTGTGCGTGAGTTAGTACGCAGTGGCGGTAGACTTGCTACGCGCCTATCGCAGCTCCTTCCCTGTTTGCAGCCGGTGGAAGAGTAAAAAAGACCAAAAGACGGGGAAAGGCACAGGTGGATGGCACAGTGTGAACCCGCACATAGGCGTACCACCACGCCCTCTGGTCCTCAACGGACCCTGACTAATATCTCATACCACGACAAGAGTGGGGGGGGGGGTGGCACAGATCCCTAGGGGCGCGGCGTGAGTCGTCACCTGTGCTTGCCACCACACCCTAGGGCCGGTGCTAAGAAAGAGTAAAAAAACCGAAGACGCGGAAAGGCACAGATTGATGGCACAGTGTGAACGCGCACATACAGTGCGTGACCTATCTCATAAAATGTTGGCTGAAATGCGTTTTCGATTAGGAAGGATTACTTGGTCGCGGTTGTGATACCGATTATCTTAAGGCATGCTCTTATAACATTTTGGACTTGGCAGGATGTCGGCTTTTAAATGCACTTCTTTTCAATTTCCTGTAAAAAGCGTGCTCGGTAAAAAATGACTACTTAAGTAGCCTGCATTTTTTCTCATTGATTTTCGATGGTCTTGGAAATTCAATCAATCAATAGAGAATTACGTCTAATTTATATTTTCTACTTGAGAAAGGAGTTACTTAGGTTTTAAAAAGGTTTCTAATTATGAAACTTTTTAAGACCGCGATATGTCCATTCAGATAGCATCGTACCTGGCCGTTTACCACTGCTCCTCATGAAATGTACAACATGGTCCCCATCCATTGCAAAATTGTATGGACCCTGTATGATATCTATTTAATGACAGAAAAATATGGGATTTTCTTTACGCGGAACGCATGCACCTTGTACAGTGTAATCACTAAGCGCTAATGCAACGAAGAATCAGGCTCCAAATTTTTCGGCAATTAGAAAAATTTTTTAAAACCTAATTATACTCATTTCCTAATTATAAAATATAAAGAAGACGTGATTCTCTATTGATTGACTAAAAGAAAGCCTATTTTGTTTATGGTTTCTATAAAATATCTTTGAATTAGCAAGACCATCGAAAATCATTGGGAAAAATGCACGCTACTTATGTAGTTGTCTTTCACCAAGCAAATTTTCTACAGAAGATTGAAAAGAAATGCATTTAAAAGCCGACATCCTGCCACGTCCAAAATGTTATAAGAATATGCCTTATGATAACCAATAGCACAACCGTGACCAAGTAATCCTTCCTAATCGAAAGCGCATTTCAGAATTTCAGCCAACATTCCATGAGATAGGACGCGCACTGTAGGCGTACTATCACCCCCTGGTCCTCAACGGACACTGACCAATATCTCATACCACGACAAGAGTGGGAGGGGGGTGGCACAGATCCGTAGGGGCGCGGCTGGAGTCGTCACTTGTGTTTGTCACCACACTCCAGGGCTGAAATGTGTTATGGGTGCGCATTCCGGATAACTGCTGCCGGACTCCGATCTGATCACTGTGATGGTCCAGCGCATCTACTGTATGATCCGTTTTGGGGCACAACTGCCATATACTACTGTCTGACAAGCCTGGCTGTTCGCTCTGCGAGCAAACTTCTGCCTTCTTGAAAGGCGGGAAAACCAGCCACTTTGAGAGTTGCAGAAACTCAGAGTTTGGGATCACAATATAGCTCACTTACGGCGACAAGTACACCCACATGGACCGACAATTTCAGTCAATCTAGCATTTGCTGATATCACTGCAGGCCGTGATTTACCTCAACCGAAAGTCCGTATTCCGTCTGACCCCCGGACTACCGTTGATTTGCGTCCCTTTCTGACCTAAATGCCTCGCGAGGAGCAATCAGACGCGTTTCAGCCAAAGAAATTGGTCGGAAATATGTGCTGCTTGCTTGCCTACCAAAGTAACAGCCTCGGCGTGCTTGCCTTGTTCGTATCGCCTAACTGAACATCTCTATTCAACTGTCCAACTCGTGGTTGGTGTCAGGGGTTTGAGGATTTAGTGCTTCCTGTCTGAGATTTTTTTGAAGACTACTGCTGGCCACTGACTTCTGACCTTAGAAAGACTAGTTAAACGGTACTCGGGTAATCAGGCTGAACGTGGATGGATAGAGTTCTTCGAGAGAAAAAAACTCGATCGTCTTAACCTTTTTAATCGAAGTTGAACAGCAGATATGAACCAGATTGACGAATATGTGAAAAGTGTCTATATGGAGAGGTCAACTGGAAGCTCTTGAACGAGATCGAAATCTCTGTGCATCAACAAAATTGCTACTCTTATGTTTTTTTAGGCATGATCAAGCTTGCCATGTGAAGGCCAGTGCCATGCAAAGCCATCTCTTGTGACCACTTGAATTCTGTACGACAAAAACTGAGCCACGCTGTCTATCGAGGTTTACTAAAGGGCGACAATACCGGTCGGCCGGTCTTGTTAATACTGGTTGGGGGGAACACCGGATGTTACCGGCAAGAAAACACAGAGACTGTCTGGAATTATGCCGAAAGTATTATCCTACTCTATTGTACGATAACGGAAATAAGAGTAGCAATTAAACAATAAATAAAAACCAAACATCAAAAAATAACGGATTGCGAGTTAAGATGTGGGGTAATGGGAAGTAATCTTTGCTGGCAGTGTAATTTCTGCAACAGTCGGCAAATGTATGCCAAGGTAAAACCCCATATTACACGATCCACAGTCTACTATCAGTTGATTTGGGTCCTTCTCTGTACCGTTGCCGGATTTACGTAGGCAGCTGGAAAGTAACACTAATTAAGTAGACGTGTTATCTGGACGTAACCAACACGAACTACTATTCAGCTATATGCAGATACGCTGGGGGTTTCTATCCATTCCAGTAAAACGACCTCTTTTATTTGAACTTATATTTAGTCGCTGTAATATCTCTTTTTTATATCGACACAACATATTGTTTGCAGTCATTATGTTCTAACTTCCGATGCCTACCATACAGTCTGTTTTACGGTGGGAAAGGTTTGACCAATCAGGTTAGAGAGTATACTTGTTACCTTGCGCCTTGGGAATCAGTCACCGGCCTCGTAAGCGCTCAAATAAATAACAGAAATTATGCAGGAAAGTAATACTGGCAAAGGCTGGGAGAGGAGGTTGCTAGGCGCAACAGGATGGACATATCTCCTGACCTGATTGATGGACGCACTCACAATACTGTTGTCATTTCCAATAGCAGTCGACAGGGAGAACGAACCCGTGAATGCTCAGTGGTACTGCGTTTGACTCGGTATGTAGTGAGGTACCGTAATAATTTACCTTTGACAATTTAGTCCCGTTTTATTTGTCCGGATTGCTTGTTTGAATGTAACGAAAAACAACATACCTAAACAACCCGTCTGACTGGCCTGGTTTGCTGTCGCGCTCTGTTGTCAGGTTACTTAACATTCAGAATATCTATACTATTAACTGCTCAATTTTACTTGCTGCCTTTAAGGCTAGGGGCTCGTGAGATATAATTCGTTAGTTCGTAAGGACTTTACCATTTAGTTCAAGTAAAACTCGATGAAAAAATAATGTAAGCTCGAGTCCCAAAGCGTACAAATCGGGGACTAAGTGCGGTTGGCTGAGGACGACTGACAAGCCAGAATTTGTCCTACTCTCCCTTGCTTTGTCAATATTCCCTTCTAGCTGTCCACTGTGTTTAGCCGCACTCCATTTTAGCAATCAGTGTTTGCAGGGCATGATCAGCTCCACAAAGATCCACCTTCGGTGTTAGCCAGTATGAATTATCTGTCCTCTTGTAGGTCACACGTGCAACATAGCCCTGACTGGCGGAAGATCGCTTTTTGGCATCGAGCTAGCACTCTACAAGAAAATCAAGGGGCTTCATAACAGGAAACCCAATATTACCCTCTGGTCAGCCAGTGAATACTTTACTGAGGGCAATCGCCTCAATTTATCCAAACCCTGGGCCCTAACTGATCTAGAACATTATGCCGACCGGACCTATCGATTAGAGGACTTTGGACCGCCAAATCTGACTCGCGGGGAACACTGCAGGCGGTACTCAAAGAAATTACAAGCCGAAATCAACAGCGGACATCCAATCAATTGGGTCCTGATGGGTATGGGGCCGGACGGTGAGATTGCAGGACTCAGCAACCAAAGCAGCAGTAGCGATACCGGCAGCAGCAGCAGCAGTACAGCGGATCCTGTTCTGTGTCCCGAGAAGATGCCGCCGGCCAATCAACCCGGCATGACTTTCAGTTGGGCCACAATTGCGCAAGCGCGGAATCGAGCGGTGTTTATCGCGGAACAGGCTGTACCGCGGTCTTGGAAGAAGTCAGCCCTCTTTAGGCGCGTCCTCCAGCCCTATATGGCTAACCCAGAGGAGAAAAGATTAAGTTTGACGGAGTGGCTTGCGAGACCGGTATCGGGCCCAGCTATTTTGCACTTGGTGGACGCCCCAGTAGACGGTCCGCGCATTCTACTGTACACCGAGCCAGCCCGACGTGTTAACCGCTCTGAAACGGATATGAGTTTTTGAATTTTTATCTTTTACTTCCGCCTTCATGAGGACGTTTAACTGCCGTTAATGCCAACGTTACCAGCCATATTTTTATTCGTTCATATCCAATTCTCATCGTTTTTCATTTTTGGGAGGTACCGGTTTTGAAAGCCGGATGGCCCCCTACCCTTTAGTGTCCCGAAGCATCAAGGTAAAAGAGACATCGCTAAATGGGTGAAATGTACATTGATTGAAATTAGCTGACTCAGCTGGGTATCGTCAATGATTTTGTCACTGGTTATTACGTGAGTTTCGAGGTTCTATTGATCATTCAGCAGGAAGCGACAGGAAAAAGTCAGGCCGTGGGTACAAGCGAAAATGTGTATATTAGGAACAAGATGATAAGGAGGAAGAGAGGCGATCACTGCAACAAGCTTTGTCCCCTAACGTTTAGGGTTAAACTCTCCCTATTTGCGCAGAGGATGCGATGAAAAGTAATCTTTTTCAATACTTCCGTAATCTTTTATGTTTTAAAACAAGCACGCAGCGTAAATATGATTTTTTAAATTTTTATCAGATATAGTTATGTAGTCGCACCTGTTATACGGGAACCGTGGGCCCTAACCCCTAATTCTAATCTGTAGCTATACACCCTGACCCTAAGCCCTAATCCTTAACCGCAGCCCTAGAACTTAACCCTTAAACATCTAACGCGAGAGCTAGAAGGAGACGACAGATCGAAGGTCAAGAAGGACCACCGGCATTGGGCCAAAAAAAGGTAGACACGACAACAAAGCAACAAAGTCGTCAACGGAATACACACTGCAAGCACAGCAACACCATGCCGACGTAATCACACCAACTCAAAATAGTTAAGTAGTTAAGAATAATATTTCATATTGACCCAACTGGGAAAAACTCGGCGCCTCAGTGGGATTCGAACCCACGCAGTAAGGGGAAGGCTTTAGCGCAGCCAACGCTCTAACCACCTGAGCTACGAGGCCCCGCCGGACGACGCGAGTTTTTAATCATATTTACCGACAAAAACAAGGGAGATTGGAATGGTCATCTCTGGCTTATTAGCCGTCGTCAGCCAGTCATACCAACCCCGAAGTGGGGAACAACCAAGGCTTGTACTCGCGACCTGTTAGTTAGAAGTCCACGCCTCTAACCCCTGGGCCACGGGCCCGTTGCCCTGTCAGTTTTCGATCGGGAATATACAATGGTAGGGGGCGCGAGTGAGTTTCTTAAGAACTATCGGTGAGCGCCCCCTACCATTGTATATTCCCGATCGAAAATCTGATTTAGGTAAGTATATAATAACCCCCGCCATCCGACCTGGTAGGATAATCGGCAGTCTTAGAAACAAAATACAGTGTTTATAAGTCAGCGGATTCTCAAAAGCTGTGTGACGCAGAGAAATCCAAGATTTCGTTAAAGCACCACCCCCCCCCCCCCTCAACGTCAAAGGAACTTTGCTCGAACAAACAGTGAAAAGTGCCATCTTGCATGAATCCCTTCCTGCCAATAAGACTGAAGACCGCTTGAGGTAGGTTCCCATCATGAAAAAGCCTTCGGTTTCCCTTCGAAGGGCTTTTTGATCCGCACTTTAAGCAAAATCTTGTCCTCGGAACAGATACTCCAAGTCTAATGGGAAGAAATGGAGAAGTCAAAGTCTCCAATTCTAGACGAGATTCAGCACAAGTTTCTCATGCGGCGAGCATCTTAAATCATTGTCGACTTTCATCCACAGCTTTGTGAAAGTCGGAATTACTCCTTCCATTTGGAAGGTAGGCCCTACGACGCTCCTGTATCGAAATGTTGGTCGGGTTGGCCTTCAAAGTGATCATGAATAAGGAGCTGATGCAGTGTTCGGCAATTAACAGCCTGCTATCCACTTTGCTTCAAGGTTTTCAGAAAGACAGATTATATGCAACATGCAATGCCTGAAAACCTGCAATTGAACGCCTAGGCAACGCGACCAGTCTGCCCTTACTGATCTTCGGAAACCCTCGTCAAGATCTTCTGGACCCTCGAGGCTGCGTTCACACTACACGATCTAGTCCTAGAGACCCTGGACGATTAATGATCAGAGATGTCAGGAAAGATTTCAGTGGAGTGCTAACAAGCAGGGGTCAGGAGACGTCGTCTTATGCAACTCAAGTTGGCTTCCAGTGAGCAATAGTGCGATTCATGAGGAATTGGTTTAAGCAATCCGGCCTTTCACGTTCTAACTGAGCCTCCTTGTGGTATGATGCGGTTTGGTAGTCCCACCTGATGGACACAATGCTATTGGGTTTGGGGTTAAGGGTTAGGGGTTAGGGACTAGGGTTGAAGATTAGGGTTAGGGGTTGGGGTGTAGGATTATGGGTTATAGTTAGGGGCTAATGTTAGGAGTTAGCGCAACTATTTCTCAACCATTGAAAGGACAACCACGCATTCCCAGTAACTGTCTTGCATACAAGCATATGACATCGTCGCCTGTGCATTTCCCGGTCACGCCTGTAAAAAAACCCTATTACCACCAACCCCGTATTAGAGGTGACTGAGGTTTGTCTACTTCAGGTGGGGCTACGAAACCACATCCGACCGAAATCGTCACTGCAGTCAGCATTTAAGGCCACCTTCTTGAATCTCTTGTTCCCTGGGCGAGACAAAACGCAAAAACGCTTGCCTCAAGTAGGATGGTAAAACCATAAAATATTCTTCGCGCATACGCTGTGATATCCCCATCTGCCATAAGCTTTGAAAAGCCTTGGCAAAGTCGTGTTTCGAAACAATTTCAATAAATGACAACGTGGAATCTTCCCCTGAGTTTAATAATGAAGTTCTGCGACTCCTTAAAAACCAAAGGAGTTTTCCATAAACTAACTACGTTTACCATGCCCAAGAGTTTGTGCTTAGTTTTACTTCAGAAAAATGAACCGAACTAAGTGCAGGTTGGTTCCCATATAATAGTACTGGTCTGACGAAGAGTTATCGAAAACAAACCTATGCTCGCCAACTAGTATTCTGAATATTGTCATGAAAATTTTCGCAGCTCTAAAGCAGTTCAAATATCCCGCGGTCTTGAACGCACTCAGTGGGTACCTACAGTAGATGTGCTAACTCATGAAATGTCAACCAAAATTTCGAAATGCATTCTCGTTTCGAAAAGATAAATTAAGTAGTGTTGTAAAACTGATCATGATGCAGCATAAATCTATAATGATCCAGTTACCTCAGGATAACGGCTTTCGAAAAAACTTATTTTCGGCTGCATGCAAGATCTATAATCTGCAAAAAATGACTACTTAATTAGCATGCAATTTTTTCATTGATTGTCGATGCCCTTGAAAATTCAATTATATTTCATTGAAGACATGCACAAAAATATTTATTCTTTTACTTATTCTGTAAAAAATCACGTCTTCGTCCAACTGTATACTCAAAAGCGGAGGAGAATTCGATTTTAAAAAAATTTCTAATTGTGAGATTTTTAAATACCTTTAAATGGCCGCTCATGAAACGTCATGTATCCGCATTTCCGAATGTGGCTTGTACAGTTGACAATATTGCTCAAATCCACTGCTTAATTTTATGAACCTCATATGGTCTCCTCTTAACACCGTAGAGAAATGCATGGTTTTCCGTAAACAGAAAATATACAGCTTGTAGTTTTGAAACCCTGAATGCAAGTGTAACAGCAGGTCGGAATCAAAATTATTCGGGAATTAGAAAAGTTTTTTAAAACCAAATTATACTCTTTTTTGAGTATGAAATTGGAAGAAGACGTGACTTTCTACCGAATAAATAAAAGAATGAATTGTTTATGCATTTTTTTCATGAAATATAATTGAATTTTCAAGGGCATCGAAAATCAATAAGAAAATTGCATACTACATAAGTAGTCGTTTTTTGCAGAGTATAGATCTTGCAAGTTGCCGAAAATAAGTTCTTTCGAAAGCCGACACCCTGAGGTAACTGGATCATTATAGATTTATGCTGCATCATGATTAGTTTTACAACACTACTTAATTTATCTTTTCGAAACGAGAACGCTTTTCCAAATTTTGGTTGATATTTCGTGAGTTAGGACATCTACTGTACGTCTCAACAGCAAGCTCGAGGGAGGCGAAAGTACTGGCCAAGTTCCTGGGGGACTATCCAAACCACTAAAGGAGAGCGCTGCGGCGTAGTCGTGCAGCTTTTGCTATCCAAACCTTAAAAGTTACGTCGGGAATCATTTGGAAAGTACTCTCATAATGACAGAACTTGAGTGTCCCGTTTATCAACGCACAGTCGTCCTTCACACCCTGACAGATGATAAAAGATAAGATTTCGACACGGAGAGGCAAAGGGTTATGCGCTTCTTAGAAGTGTGCATGAAATAGAACTACAATTACGGTTTCAAAAAACCCAGATCGTTACGTACACAACCACTCTTATATGACACTTGATAAAACATCAATTGAAGCATTATCCCTTGTTACTGAGTTTTGCATACTTCGTCCAAAAGTTAATCAGTAAGAGGCAAAACCTCAGGCCGAGAACCTCCGGGACCAAACAAACGATCTAATGCCTGCTTCCGGCATTTGTGATCAACACTGTTAAATTGCAGTCATCGATACCTGGATGAGGGATTGCTGGCAAAAGCATACATGGATGAGTTAAAAGAGCCTCGGAAGAGCGAGGTTGCCTTAGTAACTAGGCCGGATAAAGGGACAGGCATCGTTGCAATGAACATATCGGACTACGTAACGAAGATACAGTCCATAATGTCGAACCAGAAGAAATTCGAGATGATAGACAAAGAATGGAAGCGAAAGAGCTGCTGCTTTGGTTGTAAGGCCAGGGAATTAAATTCCTATAAAAGGTTCTTAGTTAAAAAGCAGCTTAATTAGGGGGCTAGTAGACCGGGAATCTTAAGATAGGATTATAAGTTAAAGGGACGAAGCCTGTCGTTTCGTAACACAAATAAAAAGTGAGGAAGATACAGAAGTTTGAACTTCGAAAGAGAAAATCAATGTAAAAGAACAAGGTCATCGTATACTGCACGT